CCTACATTAGGCAGGGTTTCAGCCGTCTATTTACTATGTCAAGACACCTCTGGTAAGCGCCATTGCCATTGTGTCGATCGACCGATGTCGATGTCGATTTTTACCGTTTTACTTAGCGAAGTGATTCTGCCTCAGCTGATCTTAATGGATAGCAGAATTGACATTTAACGAGATCATTAAAGATCACTTGAAAATTCTACAAATGCAACCTTTACCTTATACTTTCTTTTTTCCTACGGGACATTTGTCGTTTCCGACATAGAGAAAAAGTTGGCATTAAATAAATAAAATTTTATATAACAATCAAGAGAGCTTGCAAGTTATTGTATCATAAAAGTCTTCCTTGCTTAAATTAAGATAATTTGTCGGTTGTTATCGTGTCTGCAGAGAAGGCGTAAACTTCTGCTTTTAACCAGGCCGATGATTGGCATTGATTGGCATTGATTGGTTCTTCTAAATAAGGTCTTCAGGTAAACTTGACCTTGTGGTTGATTTGCTTCATCTGCTCACGTCGAGGTGGAATTTCAAATCCACGATCTAAAACTCTACGAAAGAAGGTTGAGTTTACAACAAGTCTTATTAAGAAGATCTCCCGATTCCCGTTGATTCGGACACGACAGCAGATTTCTGGACTTTTTGTTCTGACATGTCGGATGTCGCTTTCACACACACACACACACACACACTTGGTTTGACTTTGACATTAATCTGCAAAACGTTACCTAATCTAAGTTTCATGTCTTAGAACATAGAAACATTTTGTTTCCTTTTATCTTCCAAGCAATTTACTACTAAAAAGTTTGACCGTTGCCTTTTTTAACATTACAAACACCAAATCATTCCTTTGGCCTATTTAGATAGAAAAGAAAGTTATAAATTTTGGTCAGATGTGGGTTTCGTTAACAAGGTAATCAATGATAATAATGCATTGAAACCGTGTCTTCTTTTAATGGCTCCAGGTCGATGAACGAGATACTGCAATGCAACGTATACATTTAATTAACACCCACCCATCTTTTTTGTATTCGTCCTATAATGGGCCTACTGCCAGCTCGGGTAAAAAGCTGGTCCACGTTTTGCGATATCTCCTGTATATCGTCGAGTTGTATTCCAGTCAGCTGTATTTTTAAGTGTAATGAATCCGTTTAAACATCAACAAAGTTACGAACATCCCCTCCAATAGATGTAACTTTGATTTATACGTGCATCAGTATTACATGTACAGCTAGTGCGTTAGTGAAACTCCCACAGTTGCTTGAGTCAATGACGGCAACCATATAGATCTTTTAGCATGTTTTCCAACGGTTATGACTTCTCTCTCTCTCTCTCTCTCTCTCTGTGTGTGTGTGTGTGTGTGTGTGTGTGCGTGCGTGCGTGTGTGTGTGTGTGAGAGAGAGAGAGAGGGAGGGAGAGAGAGAGAGAGAGAGAGAGAGAGAGTAAGAGAGGGGAAGTTAATGGGGTCACTTTTTATCAAACAGTCTTTAATTGTTCAGTGTTATCGACCGGTTGCTTTTTACACCTACAGTATACGCATTACCGTCTATTACATGTACTGCAGCATGACAATAATCGCTTTTGCTGAGAAAGCTCATTTGACAATTTTCGCACGAATGTCCTCGTTTCTGATTCTTTAATAAAAGAGTTCTTGACATTTCAAGATTTTTCAGACGTAACAGATTTTTTTCATCCAATTTACAGTGCTCTTTGCAATCCACAATTGAAGCATTGCGAGATATCATGAATTGTCTTGAAGGCATTTATCCTTGCAAGAGATAACATCCATTAGGGCTAAGTACCACAAAACCTATTATTATCCAATATTTGATTAGAATATGATTGTTATCTAAAGGGGCCTTTTCTTTAATTATAGCTGCATGTTTGTACATGCACATGCACATGTACACGCAAAATATTTTCCTCCGCAATTTGTATGCATTTTGTACCAGTATTTTCTTTACCTACATTATATTTCCTATATGTATACAAAAAATTTAATGATTAATTATGGAATGCGAACGTCGAATTTAGGCATTTTAGCTGTTTTAGTTTGAATTATCTCTATTGCATGTCAAGACTACAGTGTACAAGAAATCCCGTGCGTGTACCACGTGTTCAATCCATTTCTGACATGGTCATCTTAACATATGGAATAGAATTTTGCATGTCAGTCACAAACGAAAGGCTATAAGCAAAATGTTTCCTTTATATATATAAATGTGCCTCAATGGATCATACTACGACAGAGTATATTTATAAACTGGCACGTGCACAGGGCTGATAAAAATTAAATGGTCTCGCGAGATTTGTAATGTCACTCAGGTGTGCTACTGCACATAAGACAAGTGTTTATGCTCTAGCAGCTTTTCTCCACAATAGGCGAATAAATTTTGATTGACGTTACGATAAATGATTACTTCAACCTTCTGACCTGCCAGGAGCCTAGATATTCATAAAGCCCAATGCCGATAGGCAGGACCAAAGGGATTTCATTTAAAGGGTCATATAGCTTTTGTACATGTCATATTTTTCTCGAACATATAACGTAGGGGGAGCAACTATTAGCTAAAACGGACCACACTTAAGTTGTTTATTGCTCGGCGTCTCACCCGAGGGATTCGAAGCCATTTAAACGAAGATTCTTTATAACTTTAAGCTGCAGTCCTAGAGTTAGGTTTAATGGAAATATCGCCATAATAACAAATCAATACCCACAAATCAACATCGTTTGGCTGGGGAATTGCTGAATAAAACAGTAACTGATTGCAGAGATGTTTCAAATGAAGTTGGGTATGGGCTTTCTACATACAGCGGGCGGATAGGCCTAAAGAAAAACGCTAAAAGGATGCTAATTATTATCAAATAAAATATCACAATTTACTCTTTCTCGTTATTGTCTCCGGCACATTCGCGTGTCACTCAAAGCAACACGTAAAATACACAGTCCGGGTCGGCAACATCAAAATTATGCGTTTCCCTGTACCAAAATAACCTCTTAGAAAATAATGATCGTTAATCCGCACACTTCCATATCCCTCTCAGACTTTTTTCTGTTTCAATTACGCATGTTTTGACGTCAAAATTCTTTATGAATTTCGACACAACGTGTTAAAAGTATCCTTAAGTGACCTAAAAAAAAAGGTTACATTACATCCTTTAATGAAATCATTAAGCACATTGCGCCTGTCAGGAAGAGGGCTATCTTCCAAGAGATTAAAGGAACATTTAATTTGCATATTGCGTATTTAGACAAATGATTTTAACGAACGTCATGTTCCAGTTTTAACACTGATTAAGTTAAAGCTTTCATAAACCACAAGTAATGCCATGAGGTAGTAACATGTGAACTTCCATAGCATTTTAACTGAGAACTTTTTTGTTATCAAAATCTCAAATTTTATACATCTGCTCTCTCCCTGGTATACTGGTGATAGAAGAGGCAAGAAGGAAATAAATTGAAAGGGGTGGGAATATATCTGTTGAGACAGAAGATAAAATGTGCTTTAAATTAAAATTACCTTCGTACTAGTATCTGGCAAGTCGGGTAATCTGATCCATGCGCTTACACTGAAACCTGTGCTAATGTTCCACAAGCACAGTGCAAGGAACAACGCGTTACACAATACACAAAACAATTTGTCAATACGCCTGGCTTGTTCAGGGAATTATATCGGATATAATTCCCTGGCTTGTTTGACGTTCACGGTTGGGAAATTATATTTTTCAACAGTTCTCTCTTTTGCGATCCATACAGTTATCTCCAAAGATTTGTGGTTCCTTGTCCAGTAGACCTGCGTCTTTCAAATATTGCGACCTCTGCCCCTTAAAATGACAGATTTGGCATATCATATATTTTACATTTCATACTGTTGCAAGAAAAGCAAAGGTATTAACAACGTTATACTTTTTAAATATTCATTTTAAGTTTTAATAAAGCATCAAAATCAAACTATTTGCACGTCAACAATGTGAAATAACGTATCCAGAAGAGCATTAATTAGAATTCAATACCCTACCATTGCCTGAAAACCACTCACTATTTCTCATTCAATATCAATGCATCAAAGTATGTGATAGATCCAAACAAAACAGTTAATTTATAGGTTAACATAATTTCAATCAAATTGAAACACAAAACCTTTAACATATGTCAGAATATTGTCAGTTATGCAATGTACAATACATACCGATATCATCTATACGTTTCATCTAACACTGCCATGGTGTTACTAGGCCCTTGGATATTAGTTCACCTAGACATGCAAATGTGTAATTCTCCATGCCTACCTATTCTTTTGTATAAAAAAATCCTATTTTTCCAAATTAACTAACATTTTACATTGTTTGGTGATTTAAGTTTTGATTTAAACAATTTAACAGCAAAAATCATTTTCAAAAATTGAGCACACAAAAGATGAACCATTAGAAATTGTGTATCACTATTAACAGCTGTTTTACAACTACCATTTCTATATTGTGCACGTTTTAGAGGCTACCTAGTCAACATTTAATGCTCTAACTTTACCTGTTATACTAAGAGCATTTAACAAAACATTGAGCAGAAACATGTATACTTACTGAGAATCACAGCAAAGTCAACTTTCTAACCGAACTTTATTAGCTCCGTGTAAAAATATACACAATTATTAATGGTGCTCACATTTGATGTGGTACATAAAATACTTAATTTTCAAAATCTTTAACAAGACTTGACTTTCTATATAGAGTGTATAAAGAGAAAAAGAGCCAATAAATATCAAATTTAGCTGATGCCTTGTATTTACCAGCAGCTAAAAATATGGCCTCTTATAAAACTTTATATGACCAAATGGACTCACTCAGTTATTTTAGTCCTTCTGCTCACCATCTGTTTTTTTTAAACTCCGGTCCTAAATCTCCGTTATCTTCATAATCAAACAGTTTGATTATCTTCATAATCAAACTGTTTGTTAAAAGTTTCAAGTTCTTATTAATGAGCATTTGGTTCAATGTTTGCATTTGGGTTTTTTATCACAAGTTCATTAATGCACATGTTATAACTCTAAAATACCTACCCATAGCCTTGACAAAACTATTTTAATCAAACTTCATATATTTCAAGCTACTACATAATTCAAAATTCAATTCAATAAGCATATCTTTGACACTTCCATCTGCCCAATTTAATGACAACAACATGATTTAACTAGCTTAACAGTGAAAAAAAAGTGACCTTGCATTATGAAGCCACATAGATTAATAGGCAAATCTTTTATTTTGCGGATAGCCAAGTTTATCCAGGTTTGGTTCGCATGCAAATCTTATCATGGGAGGAGGGCCACACATGAAAATGTAGGTGTCCTCACCAGGGGTTGGCAGGTGCCCCTTAATCATGTCTGCATCTATAAAGCCACTGCTGTAAGCCCATCCTGTAAATAATACCAACACTCATTTGAGTACCCTATATGTGTTTCTGATGCCATGTCTTTTACATTTTGACATTTTCAGTTTCACTAAAGTACCTTAGTCATGTACCTTATTCTTTTTATAGTTCACCAAATGCACTCATTACAAAAAATCTGACTCCCTTAATCAAGTCAAAATTATTTGAATAAGAAAATATATACGTATCAATAATAAACAGTTTCCACCTTAAATGCATCATTGTGATGTAGTCATTATAAAAACAATATTTTTTTAATGTGCAAATGTGTTCATTTTGATTAGAATTGTGCCCCATATGTTCCATACCTTCCTCAGGCCTGTCCAAGGTATACCATAGCTTAAAGCGGTCTGGATGTTGCTCAGCAATCTCTTCGAGCTCTGGTCTCAGGAGGATGTCTTTCTCAGTCTAATTAATGAAAGAGGAATTTTACCCAAGGCTGTCTAGAGATTGCAAAGCTTTAAGATTTCTAACAGACTACATGTACTATAAGAGTTGTGACATTAAAGTTGGGAACAAATATGTTAATCAGTGCAATGGCTGTGCCAAGATCCAATTCAATAAATCAATGGCAGAACATTAAATTACATAAATAAATATTACAGCAGACTTATGATAAAGAATAAATGGCCAAGATGCATTTATAAGCTGGGGCTTTTTTTTTGGGGGGGGGGGGGGGTGTGTGTGTGTGTGACTATATTCAATAGGTCTAATTGTAATGCAGGGTATGCGTTGTTCTTGTGGGGACTACATGTTGCCCTAGTATGTGACTAATTATTTCCCCCAGGCTTCAACAGGTGCAAGTAACAGCTTACTAAGTGAATGACTATGGCAACTGTAATTTACACAAGTTCAGAACATACATGCAGCACAGAAGGAAAAAAGTCACACAAATTGTTAATTTGCTGTAGGCCAAGGATTTATGTGATTACAAAAAAATTCATTTCGAGGTATTCTATACATCTTTGAAAATGTCCATAAGCCACATCTTTATTTCTAAATATCGTGCAAAAAACTACCATCTCAATGAAAAGGTACAATTTTATTTTTGATGTAAAATAAACATGTGAACATAAAGAACATAAGAAGCAATAAATTATTTTTTGTCAAAAGCAAAGTATTCTCCCTTTAGCTATAAGACCTCCAACTTAACGAATTAAAATATTTATAATAATTTCAAAGAAAACATAATCATAATGATACATGACTACAAGTATGCTGATAAGCCATTTTTTATATATCTGTCCATATATTCTAAAACTCCAAGGAAAAGCAGCCCCTCCTTCCCCACCATTCAACATCATTATCCCTTTCAGTGAATGTGAAAATATATTTAGCCACAGCTACTTTAAAAAGTATACATCTCTCTGTTTGATGCCTTATGACCTAGAACATTGAGAACAAATAAGCTGGTGGTATATCTCATTATCTGTTCTGAACACTTAAATAACATACTGACATAATATGTCAGAACCAATCCATCAAAGTTACCTGATTTGCAAACAGCAACATCAAATTGGTCTTATCCTCAGGATCCTTAAACACTTGACGAACCAACTGAAGCATTGGGGTGATTCCTGTGACAAAATGATGAACATCAATCCCAAGAGTAACGTTTGCAATGTGGTAATGAGTACTGAATACATATGTGTATAAGTTAAATTTTTATCATAATGATACAAAACAGTTGAAAAGTGTGTTTTGATCCTTTTTTTCATATGAAACCATTGCTCACCAGTTCCTCCAGCAATCATTCCTACATTCTTTGCCTTCACTTTCTGAGGTGGGGACTTCTTGTCCGGACGAATGCTAAACTGACCTGAAAATATGTACTTTTCTTTTCATACCAGTATCTTAAAATACTGTGCTTCAGTCTTTTAAGAAGTGTTTAAGAGGCACAGTTCAGTCTAAATGCAGTTGACGCCCTCAGGTAAAACACAGAGGTAAACTGCACTGTCAGTTTTAGATGTATTATTTCTTATTATCAGATTGTCTCATTTCAATCTGCTATGGGTGGGTGTTAAATGTGGTGTGGTGGTGTGGTGGCTTGGGGGGGGGCTTCAGTATTATCCAGAGGATCCATCATGCAGGGATGAAACAGTTGACACAGCCCAAACTTAAGCACACTTTTACAGTTGTATATCAGGTTTTGCTCCTAAAGGGATCATACAGCCATTTAAGTAATTTATAATGGAGCACAGAAATATTCTTAAAGTTAATTGTTGTAAAAAAACAAGCTATGCAGTACCTCGCCCATCATAGACCAGCAATCCATTGGGTCCTCTAACTTCTATATAATCTCCAATAGCCATGTTCTCCAAATACTGGGACATTTTGCCACCATCAGGGAATTTAGGATGAACATCTTTGAAATACACCTGTAACAATTCAATTAATAGGAAGGTAGTTATTAAAAGAAACAAGGCATACGATTTCAAATTTTACATGTTTTTTACTTAAAAGTACAAAAAGCACATCTTGCTGAATTCATCTAAGGAGAAGTTGTACTTTTTGATTATTTTTTTTATGAATAAATGTCACCAAAATAATCTAATTTATCATTTCCTGACAAACCTATTGACATAGTTTTGAATCTGATTCAAATGATAAGAAGGTGCTTAAGGGACGGATGTACCCAAATATAGCTAAAAATAGTCATTTTTGGTTTTTTATGTCTAATTATTGGTTAAATGTGTATCTAACGTTTAACAGAATAACATTTTTACATTTTGAACAAAAAATATGTTTTTTTCTGAGGATTCTGATGCTGCACACATCGGCACCGGTGGCCTGGTCTATGCCCCGCCTTCGTTGTCAAGGGCCGTTGGCATGGGTAAACTCGGTGGGCGGACCTCAGCAGCATCAGCCCGACTCGAGAAACAATAGAACAGGGATGCGTCATACCCCCTTTGTCATAAACAGCGATCGGCAAAGCAGTGCCTATTGTTCCGCTTAAGCTGTTTTGATAGTCGCTCTTGATTGTGATCAGCGCTAAGATGAATCCTTTCCGACACATTGGATTTGCTCGAAATACGCGTTCTCCTTTGAATTGCTTGTTGTTACACGCGCTCTTTCGATTTTCTTGTTAACTTTTTGAGATACGCAAAAAAAAAAAAAAGAAAAAAAAAAATGAAAATTCTGCTGCTTGCTACCCGTGACAGCAACCGTCATACTATCCATTTTAAAAATCTACATGGGCGTAACTAGGCATACGCACGGACGCACTGTGTGTACAATTTTTTTGCCAACCACGATATTATTTTATATAAATTTAGTGTATTTTTCACGGAATATAAAAGAAAATCCTCTGCTTATCAAAGTCACCTGTAGTGACTTACAAAGTCTTACAAATCCTCTGTATCAATTGTATAGGCACAATTGTTCTGACCCCCCCCCTCCCCCCCGTCTAGCAAACTGAGATATACAATGTCTGTAACCTTAACAAGTTCTATCTTAATCGTCCATCTAACTGGAACTTCCTTTACCTCTTAATTGGAGGATTCAGTGGCCCTCAACTCTTATGTACCTTCTTTCTTGAGAATATCGAACGCATTCTTGCTGGCGATATTTATCTCAGGTAAAAATCTGCCTGAGTGTTATTTTCAAAGAGCAGCTCCCGCAACCCTGGGGGCACTAGATAAAATCTGGACGCCAGGTTTAAGGAGCTAGAGAAACAAAGGAATAATTTTTCCTGCAAAACTTCAAAGAATTTTGACACGGACTTGACCCAGCTAACCCCTCCAAACTAACAGGGTGACATGGGGAATTTTTACAAACAAATAATTAAACTTAGATGTATCAGAGCTCTGTCGTGTCGTACAATTGGTTGTCTTTGGGAGCCATGCATCCACATGTAAGGTGAATGAAACCGTATGTTAGTTCAACTCAGAGGTGGATCCAGGATTATTCGAAGGGGATTCCACATATGCTAAGCTAGCCTCCTTTTAAATAAATTTACCGTTCTGGGTAATAAGAATATTGAAATTTTTTTAATTGCGAGAATATTTCTGACTAAATGATTATTAATGGAAATTAAGCTGCGATGTGTGGTACATATGCTGTAATTACGCTGTCCTTCATCTCTTGCGTTAGTCTACATTTTGCTGGGAATTTAAAAAATCTGTGCGTACAATTTTAAAGGTCTGGTTACGCCCCTGAATCTATGCAACTTGGGCAATTTGATCCGATCGGCGTCCTGTAACACGACCGTGTTTTCGAACCATTTTTCGCTTGGCGAATGTGGACAAGACCGCCTGCGATGCTGCTATTGTGTGCACATCCTAGAGCGCATCCCTTACACTTGCCCCGACGGCAATTGACGTGGACACTGATAGCTTGAGTCATTAGGGCTGACTTGATTGCCTGTCAATCATTCTGACAGTGCTAGCGGTAACCCCTTGAAGTTACTAACAGGAGGTGAGATTGATACAAAAATAAGATTTTCTGACATCCAAATGCATGCAAACAAGGTACTTTCAATCGGCAATAGAGTACTCATCTTCGCGATCGTCAGAACGATAACAGGTAAAGCTGCCAACAATTTAATTTGCTAATTTGGACAATTAAACTCCCTGAAAGGGTTTTTGCTCGTTTTCTTTGCTTTCAATATTGACGAGATAGCGTTATCTTAGCAAGCTATAACTGTCTACCTGTACACCTGAGGGAGACCAAATTCACCATGCTAATTATGAAAAGTATGCACTAAAAGTGCTTTTTAAGAAATTTTGATTGATCCTCTCTTTTCTAATTTATAGACTTTGAAAGTGAAAATTCCCTAATATTTTGATGTAATTTCACGTTTTTATAGATAAAATCAACAATAAGTGTCTGAAGAAAAATCCCAGACTCCATGCTGTAGTACTTTGTTCAAGTGTTATAATGCCATCAAAAGCAAGTTTATAGCTGTCCAGGTGCCTGAGAAAATCAGGTGTATAAAAATGGTGTTTTTGTCCCCAAAATCCCAATATTACGCCACACGATGAAGTTGGAGCTGTGTTCCAAGCATTATTAGATATTTTGAAGATACATTAAATGAATGTGACAGGAATAAAAAAGCCAAGACCTTTATTTTAAGAGAAAATCTCAAATCTACATTCCCCCCTTAAATTGATGGTGGATATTGAAAGAAACCATGCATAAACCTTGCTTAGGGGTTATACTGTTTACCAGAGAAAATCTTTTATTCATGTATGAGATTTCACGAAAAAATCTTATGCTGGGGATCTTAAAGTAACTGTTTTGTAGTTTCAACCTAAAATGGAACTATTGTAATTCTGCATGTGAGCCAAAAAAGAAAAGTATGCAATAACTGCAACCAAGAGTCTTTTTTTTTTTTTCGCTCGATGCAGTTCCAAGTGCTGCACTCATACAAGCCACTTGAAATCAAAGATCTTACAAAAAAAGCACAAGATAATAACATTCAAAAACATATTGTTTTATCTTAATACCAAGGGAAAATAATTTACAAAAAAAAAAAAAAAAAAAAAACTTAAAGGAAGACAAAGTTAACCTCAGATAGGACATAAATCAAAGTGGACAAATAAGTTTTAAACATCTGTACACACCTTGACCACCAGGTCCATAAATCCTTTGTCATCATCACTGGACACAGGAGTGTATGGACGGATGACTAATGAACCATCAATACGAGCACTAAGATATATGTGCTGTCCTAAAATATAAAAGACAGCACTTGAAATCAACTGCATTAATTTGTATAACAGATTTCAATAGGTGTAGAGAGCCAAGCTTTATAGTCGGAGTCACTCAACTGGAGCACATACATGTATATAAACCTGTTCCATTGACAGGAAAATTAGAGGCAGAAATTATATTTTACATTTCAGTATCTGTTACTTCATAGGTGAAAGGGACTTGGCTTAGGATTCTCATTTTCATAAGCATTTTTCTTATAACCATGTAATTCTAATATTCATTGGTGTGTTATTGGGCCTCATTTCAACTGTCACAACAGGTAACTCTCTTACCTACAGGAAGTCCCAATACATGATCTGGGGAAGGCAAAGCAAACCGAAAGCGTCTCGTATCATGACTTATAATCTGAAATATAGGCAAGCATCATTTGACAAAGGTAGCAATCTTAATTAATACAATTTATATTCTCAATCTTTGCATATGCAAGTAAGTACACAAAAATGTTACATGCATTAACCTAATGTATATCGATGTATATGAATTATGCCCTGGACAATTATAAATTGAAAACACACATTCATAACTCTTGACCTTCTTTGCAAAGTACATACTTCTTTATCAATAAGTTTAAGTTTATATTTCACTTCAGGGTTTTCCAATGTTACTGGAGCCTTCTTTTTCTTGTCACTAAAAAGGAAGACTTTGGCTAGAACTGCAGTAACAGCCACAACTCCTAGGCCAATAAGGACAGGTATCGTCTGAAATCAAGAACAAATATTTTTCATTTTAAATAAATATGGTTAAATGTATTTTAATGATTATCACACACATTGAAAAAAACTAAAAGTAAAAAAATGCTTCATCATATTTCTCTAAAGAAAAATAAATAAATAAAAAGAAAAAATTGCCCCATCAAAGAATCATTTACTTATTAAGGCATTTTGTCAGGTTTAATTTCACTGTAACTCATGACCAACATAATCAATGATTTCTTTAGCATAACAATATTAGTGAAGCAACCAATAAATCATTACAACAAGCAGCATTACCCTCACCAGCACATCAGTACTGGGTGCCATTTTTCAGATGAAACAAATGTGTCTTAGACTTTTTCAGGTTTCTTTCGGGTATGCCTTATTATGAACACTGTGAATTCCTCGCCTGGAAATAATAACACATACAGGATATTACATGTGTACGAAGGAACTTCTCAGAAAGAGGCATGTATCTCTTCATTAATAAGTTCATGCGGTATTGTCCCCCCCCCCAAACTCTCACATGATATGGAGTTTGAGATTACATGGGTCAGGTTACTTGCCATACTAGTGGCTCCACTGGATGCACAATTATATGCACTAGTTTGTTTCTGAGTGGAAAACAACACCATGCCATGATTTTATACATTCAGAAATATATCATGACAGCCACTGTTGAGTATATGATTTCATAACTGGTAGGTGAATATTAACTGAATGGTATCGATCGTGTTGTATCAATGGCAGAATCTGATGGCTTTTCAATTATGTGTGAATTGAGAAGTAAAAAAACTGTAAGCTCCAAAGCTTGTTTTGCTAGCTGAACATGATTTCAAAGTTTTTTTAGCTTCTATCTTTCAAGCATAAGCTCTTCTTGCATAGATACCTCAAAACATAAATAAAAGACATTTTAGCTACAGTTTAAAACAAACTGTGAAGTATAGCGAGTACACATCCTGCCTGCTTTCAAACCGGCGTCACGTGTACGGTCTGTTCTGCGTGAACCATCCGTCCTGACGGATTGTACACGCAGCAAACGCATGTATGAACCGTTCCATGAATGATCCGTTGTTATTTAGCCTACCTGTGCATTGATTTGGCTTGTTCGTTTCCCACCTCATTATATATTTACTATAGTGGGGATATTTCTAGGTAAAATTCATGTGTTAATACAGAATTTTAATTGATAATTTTGATAGAGAATCAGCGTCTAATTACAGTTCCACGCTTGGATGAACCTACTGTGGATGGGCAGTACACGTACATGTGGACCGTACACGCCAGAAGTCTCTCAGATTTGTCTGCGCTTTGTGCGCATAAGCAGAACGGATGGTTCAAGCGAACGAAGGGTTCATGCCACAATGGAATATCTTTTAGAATGGCATGGCACGTAGCCGGTTTGAACGAAGGGTTCATGCCACAATGGAATATCTTTTAGAATGGCATGGCACGTAGCCGGTTTGCACCCTACCCTTAGATTTTCCCTGGTTTTGGAAAAGAACAAGAAAGACTGCCTAGTGATAAAGTGTCTGGGCACTAAAGTAAAATTAGTTTTAAATATTTACGAAAATAAATATCTGCATCATTTTAGGCAGTGCTACCGGGTGGCTAAATCAGCCATGAACATGATACTTATCACGTCCACACATACGTCGTAGACAAGCGTCGGCAGTTCGCCTGCGGTAGTATGAAGTGAAAGTTTCATTATGATGAAAAAAATTGCCAGGTATTGACACTTGCTTCTTACAATTAGCCTAACACACAAAGATACTTAGGTTGGGAATGTACAGTAATATCACACTTTTTTCTGATGTGAATAGAAGTAATGCCACATTTTTACCAAAATCTTCCTTAGATCTGTCTTTTCATGGGCGCAGCCATATTACAAGTCTCGTTTCCGAGAGGAACTACTATTTATCACTACGCCATTCATCAAAATAAATATGTATCAGAGATGGACCAGTTAAAATACCATGAAGAGAACGGTTTAAAGGATGCCTTGCTGGGAAATAACCTTTTCACAATATATATATATAGAGAGAAAATTTTTCAAAAAAACTTTAAAAAATTTGTTTGAACTCTTTTTTGAACTTATTTTATACAGTGGAAGGATAAGAGTAAAGTGGAACTTCCGCAGCTGTAAAACAAGATAACCAAGCCTCAGGTGCCTGTCCGCGAACAAATCCCGGCGTTTCCTTAAAGCATTTGTCGGCAAATAATGCAGGGTTAATGATTACCACACAGAATGCCGTTTCCAAACACGGTGTTAGTTCTCAAAGACTGACTGAATTAAAATCTGTAGATCACCGTCAACGTGAACATATTGCTCCTCTTGCAAGCTGTAATTTGTAAACACTGAAAGAACGACACAGTAACTAGAGTAAGTTTTGTGACAATGGTTGCCGGGTTTTCGGGCCAGGATCCTGTCTCTGATGTGGTTTTGGTAGTTGAAGCTACAGCCAACCTTGGAGCCTACTTCGATGATCTCCTGAAATCGTACGTTCTGCCCACTCTCGAGTAAGTGTTTCTGCAGCATGTGTTACAAATGCTCTCCAGACTTAATGGTGGTAAATAGTGAAATAAACAAAAAGTGCAAGCTTTTAAGTTTTATTAAAATTTTATTTACATTTTATTAAACATTAAAAAACGTGTTTTCATATATTGGAGGAATTGATCCTTGACTTATATTCACTTTGTTAAGTGAAATGTATTATTTCTTTTGTGATATTATTTTTGAATGAATCTGAGCCACACAATAGATGGTTTGTGCATCATGTTTCACTATCTCATTAACCACAAGATTATTAATTCCTTAGATAACTTAAACTACTTACCCTATCATTTAGGATTAAAGAAATGTTAAATAATTGATCTTGTCCACAAAAACACAGACTTGATAATGCTGATGGAAACATAATCTTCATTAATGGAGTTAATGACTCCTTCCAAATATGTGCAAATATTTTGTGAAGGCCTAGACTCAAACACAATGAATATTGGTTTTTCCTGGTGTTGTGTTCTAAGTGTATGAAATAAAAAAATAAGTTGTACAGACACCTGTTTGTTCAAAGATTACTTGGAAGTTGTTTTGTCAGGTTAATCATCTCATTTGCAGCTAAGGCTTCATGTTTATCAACTTGGTTGTAAAAAAAATTAAACTGTTCAAATGAGAAAGAAACATTACTGTTATATGGCCTCACAATCAAGTCTTGCTCATTACAGTGGTTTTGATATTGATGAAAGGTCATGGTAATTGCTTACTAATTGACAAAATCAATTTTCTGTATTCTATAGTTTGACAAAACTGTATTACTTGATAGATATGTTGTTGAAAAGGGAAAAATAAGACAAAAAACGCAAGACAAAAGACAACCTTCCCAACATGACTGGTTATTGTCAGTTGCCTGCTAGTCATTGAATTAAAAAGTCATCTTTACTTATTCAAATCAACTTTGGGTTGATATCACTGTTGTAAAGAATACTGACACTAGTATTTAGTAAAGGAAAAGCCTATAGTATGTTATTCACAATCAAAGAATAATGAGCTTAGCACACATGTAATGATATGTCATAGGGATTCAGCAATTTGTGTTGTATTGTATTGTATGATTATTTCAATTTAGATGTTCTTCCTTCTTCTCATTATTGGTATTTATAAAAGACAAACAACGGATGTGCAAGAAGCAGTGAAACTGTCCGTAATTGAGTGTGATCTAAATTACATGTAATCTGAGCATCGAGTTTGTTGTTGAAATACTTGACTTAATTTTTGGGGAATAAGAGAAGGCAATTGAAAATAAGTCTTTTGAAAATAAGATTTTTTTATGTATAGTACAGGTAAAGCCTGCAATATTTTTCTCTTCCACAATGGGAGAAAAGATCAATTATGCCCATTATGCTTAAAGTGGATTAATGAAACTTATTTGTGTTTTTTAATTTCAGACACTTTGATGGTGGCCCACCTTCAGAAATTGATTATGGCTTTGATGTGAGTGTACTTAGATATTGTCAATAATTATAATTCCTTGTTTGCTATAAAAGGCAGTTGTACTTAAATATGTTTTCATTTATTAGATTCAAATCAGTGCTGCAAATTATGCAATAGTAATACATAATGTTGCATCAAAGTGTATGGTTGGTATTCATTTTCACATTAAGAATGATAAAAGCCCATTAAGAGTGACATGACCTGAAAATAAAAATTGAATGTAAATGTAGTCAGTGGTTTACTTCAGGCTGAGAGACTGGGTATATTCTTCATACATATGGATGTTTTTCACCAGAGCTAGAATCCAACAACTCTTGTTCATTGGGTCTTAGCTAGTGGACCCATGGAATATAATACATTCAGCGTTTATCTAGTCAATTTTTCCCCATTACAGCATTTTACAGTATATATTTTTTCTTGTCTTAGATGTTTTACCTTGACAAAAAAAAAAAAAAATAGTTCATATATACTTGGTTAATGCAGTTTAATTCTGTGTCTCCAGTACAACTGTACCCTGTACAGCCTGGTAATGTTTGGTGCGGCAGACTGTGGCCCAGACCCAGCAGCCAGGTGCCGAGCTCCCACCACCAGCACCAGTGAGCTGCTCTCATGGATTGATGGTGTACAGTAAGTACATGCATGAAATGAGAATGTTTGCTGTTTAACATGTGGTTTAAGTTTGAAATCCGTGGTGATGTAAAGCATTTGTTTTCTGGGATACTTGTGAATTATAAGCAGACTCATTTAGTTGAGGAAAGTGTGTGAGTAAGAAAAAAGATGAACTTTTCTAATATGATCTAAAGTGTGCATACAGTGAGAACAAGGTATTGATCAGGTATCATGAAGTCAACAAATTGACTCTGAATTGAGTAAATTTTGTTAGTCTTCTTGTTTGAAATATTTGTGCCATGCAATTGTCGTAGTATCAGTAAATACTGTCTATTTGTTTGCTTTGTTTTAGGTTTGTAGGAGGAGGAGGTGAAGAAAGAAGCTTTGTGGCAGAGGGTTTAAGCACTGCTTTGCAGATATTTGACGATTACAACAAAGTTCGTGATCAGAAGTAAGTGTGTGGACCCAGAATTTGGCACGTAGGTTTGTGGTACATGTATTCAATATCAAAGAAAATCTTTTGATTCATCCATTCTTTTAGCTAAGATGAAATGGAACTAAAATTTATTCTACTGTTGGATCTTATGTTTGAAACAGAGGTCACAAGATTTTGGCCTAATCACAAGGTCTTCTTCAGATGAACTGAGATTGAGTTGACACCAAGTCATGGTGACAATCTGCAGTGATAATATTGAATGGTTTTAATACATTTCTTTGTGGCTTGTGTAAGTGATTTTTGATGTAACCCTAACCCTGCTAAATGTGTAAAAATATTTGAATATTAAAATATTAATCTAAAAGCCAAAGTTGGGCACAAAGTAACAAGTATTTTTTTTGTTTGCTTTTTTCTTTACAACAGTACTCAGACCAACAAGTATTGCATATTGGTATGTAACTCGCCACCATATCAGATTCCCAGCCAAGAAAGTATCAAATATTCTGGTTACAATGCCGAAGACTTAGCACATATGATGGGACAGGTAGGATAAGATCCTTTCTCCGAGAAAATTTTATGAAACAGAGGGTCTGATTTGATAAGGATAGTCAAAGTAATTGTGAGCTCAATGTAAGACGGGAACTGTAATATGCAGAAACTATATTGCTTGCAAATTTCTTGTCAAAGCAAAGTAAGATGTAAATGTTATATTTCTCACATGTTGGTGTTACTTATTCCCACGACTCTGTTAAGTAATGGAACATAGCAATCTATTACTGTTAAGTCTTTTCTTGAAGTGTAGTTTAGAAGATAAATTGGCAATTTAGAGCAAAGAGTGAATTTGATGATGGGTACTTTTTTGTTAAAGGCTTTTATGATAATGCAATTGTACTTGGACTGACACAGATTAGACTCACTCAGCTGTGTTTGATTCATTTTCTTCTATTCAGAGAGGGATTAACTTATCAGTTATCTCGCCAAGAAAAATCCCATCATTATGCAGATTATATGACAAGGTAAGAGAATATGTTTGTTTACAGTTAAATGTATGTTTCGTTTGTTAATATATCTTGGATGTGATCTGTCTCAATGTCATTATTTGCTTTTTTTTTTCATTTTCAGGTTTTCTTAAATGACATAATGTTAAAACGAGACATCTTGGCATTAAACCCAAACATGAACCATAAAAAGAGAAACTAAGCCAGAGACAGCAGTACATTATTTTTTGCACAGATACAATAACATTTTAGACTTTCATTAATAGTCATGTATTATGGCATTATTTGTCTACTTGTAATTCTTCTATAGGCAAATCATGATCACAGTCCACCTAAGGACTACACAATTGATCCAAGACATCTAGTTTTATTGAGGGGATATTCTTTACAAGGTAAAATTTGTGTGACACTGTCCTTGTAATACTTTCTAAATTTTACAAAATAAATATATAATCCAGAAAGTTTTTTTTATTGTAACACTTCCAAAAGATATAGAGCTACATAGAACTTACATGTTATGAAGTTGTTGAGACAGTACATTGTGCTCTGTTATCTGAAACCTTTCAGTTTTCTTTCTTGAAAACTTTTGCTTTTATTCTAAAGGCATTTGTTGTTCTATTTGAGTAATATATGCCTGCTCCGTTACCTCATTTTTAACAGAAGTTGTCAACTTGACCTCATTTAAGCATAAAAGACTGGTCTTTACATATATTATCAAGGTAAATGAGCTTGTGTTTACAAGGTATTTACGAGTTTAGAACTATTTGAGAGGTGGTTAATAAGTGCTTGTCAATGAATATTGTTGTTGACAACAAAGAGCTTGTCAAATTATATTTTTACACGTAAGTGCTATATACTGTGCCTTCAGGTGCATATATGGGCATTTTGAAATTTATGATAGATATATTTGATGCAATTAGTCGTAATTATAAGTGAATTAATGTTTAGAGCGCCCACCAAGCCCGGGTGGAGATAAAATACAAGACAAGTCAATTCAAAAACTCCCCGCCAAAGTTGGTAGCCCAGCAGCTGGCAGTGGTAAGAAGAATTTTTTTTCTGTCTTATTGTTTTAACTTCAATTTTTGTGTGATGACTTTATATGATGTGTTTGTAGTCTCTGAAGATGTTAAGTAAGAAAATGTATCCTGTTTAGTGTGCAAATGAATTGGTCTCGAATCTCCCTTCCTTATCTTATTTCTCTTTGGATATATTAGGTGTTATTTTACTGAGTGCTGCCCTTGTCCTGTTAAATAGATGTTAGCCCCCCAAAAAAAAGAACATTTTATCCCAGACACAGTAAATATTGCAATTTTTATTTTAAATTAGTCTGTGATTCAGTCATTATAACTAAAACTGTCAACTAGCAGGATATAAGAATTTTTTGTTACTTGTTATTCTTTACCTGGTAGTAGATTTGAGAAGACATAAATGTTTTCCAAGGGTTGAGCTTTATTTTTTTATCACTCTTTTCATCATTAAGATGCATAATAAATGATCAGTTTTTTATCTCAAATTCATCATTCTTTTTTGACCAAGATTAAGCAAAATTAAAAAAAAATATTTGCATTATACAGTACTGTGTATTTTGACCAAAACAGAAAAAAGAAAATGCATTATAAGCATGCACCCTGTCAAAAACAAATGTCTCATCTCAGATATGCAAGCTGTTCTGTCTATTCTTTCATTTGCAACAAGAAGTTCCCTAAACATAAGCAGTGATAATATTAATTATGGTGAGAGTGTATCCAATATTGGTTGATGGCATTCCTCAGACTGGTATTGGAATGACCGACTTCTAGGACGATGATTTTATAGTTAGGGCCCTGTTGTAGACTTCTTGTAATGGGGATAATCTTGTAATGTAAAGTCGAACAACATTTCCTTGGATTTGGAGGAAATGGAGTCAGAAATAAGTCAGCCTACTCACTGAGGTGCCGGCACAAACGAAAGCTGATAAGTTATCCACCAATAGCTTTTTCCTAAAATGTAATTTATATGTAGGTTTCATTCAGTTTCACATGTATAATACTGTCCACACTAAGTGGAAACAGCCAGGACGCTAATGGAGCACAAAAAGCAAAACCATAATCATGTGATTAGCATACCTTCCTATCGACAGGTTTTTGATGTGGTATCATTGCATCATAAAAGTTGACTTCACTTTCTGCCATTAGTGTGTGTGTGGGGGTGGGGGTGGGGTGGGGGATTAATGCTGGTATTCTCTTTTCAATGCCATTATTTAACTGTTTGTGTGTAGGGAACTTCTCACTATATAGGACATAGGCCAAGCTGATGAACCTTTTCATTTTATTGTCATAGTTCTGTGTTATTCCTCCTCTTCTCTCTTTCTTCCCAAGCTTCTTCAGTTCTGGCCTCTGCTCCTACTGCTGCCACTGTGTCAGGTAGTCAGACTCTTTATAAGTCTCTAGGTGATTCTGGATTCCGAATACCAGTCCCTGCTAGTGTTTCTGCACAACAGCCACAAGGTGGGTGGTACATGGGGTCCACACATTGCTCAAGGAGGGGAGGGGAGGAGGTCTTTAAAAAAAA